ATAGATAGATAGATAGATATAATATAAAATAAATATAATAATAATAATCATAATAATATATTTCCGCTGAGAATATAGGCTTAGGAAAATTGAAATAAAAATCAAGTAAGTCAGTCAACCGTAGAAAAGGGTGGCGCCCTATAACACATTTCTTTCTTTCCGACTCACTGACTCCCTTTTCCCAACCATCATCTGTAAACACGTTCTAATGTGTCACGGCATGGTGGAATCAGGCGCTTGTCTATTTTTTGACACATGAAGTTATTGGTATCATCTTAAAGCTTGTTTTTATTTGTCTTGCTTTCGATTAAAAATTACTCACGTGTCTTGAATAGACGTGGAGAAGTTTGCTACCTTCAATGGTTTATTTATAGAGGCACCAGCCATCCATGTCCAGGTGCTGTTTTAGCGAGAAGTTTGCTATTGAATGAGGTGGGGGTTGTCTGGTTTCAGAGGTAAAATTAGAGAGAAAATGGCGGCCATAGTTGGGTGATTTCATAAGCTTAATTGAGTTTTTGGAAACTGAAAATTTACGTTTTTGCCTATAATTAATGGTTTTCAGTAAAAATCCACGCAGAAATGGATTTTAAATGGATATAAACGTCGTTGACTCCCCCCAAAAAAATTAAAAAATTCGATAAAAATGGACAAACGGGCGAAACAATAAAGTACGAAGACTACGATCTTCCATTTCATTATTTTGACGAGCGCCTGATTTCACCGCTCACGTATTATGTCTTTGAGTAGATGCTGTTTTGTCCTTGTGCTAGGAGACATATGACTGAGCCTATACGTTCTTATACTAGTTATACTATTGACCGTCTAGGACTGAGCCGTTAGAGAGGGGCAAAAGGGCAGAGGAAGACCAAAGGTTAGTGTAGTTTTTGTAAGAGTTTTACGGCACTTGCAACACAATACGGTCATGTAAGTGCCCAAAAATTAGAAGTGTTACAAGAGCGTAATAAACACAAAAGAAGAAGGAGGGGAGATAAGGATGATAGATGCTTGATAGGAAAGAAGGAGCAAACCACACCAGAGCACCCGCCTACCACCCACTAACTTAGTTTGAGACCTTGATCGGATAAGAGTGACGGGGACATGCCAGGGTTGTACAGAAGGTGTGTTTGTGGGTTGAGGGGTTTGGGGGGGGGGGAGGAATGTGATTGTGTGTGTATGTGTGTGTGTTTGTATGTGTGTCTGTCTCTCTGTCTGTCTGTCTCTGTCTGTCTCTGTCTCTCTTTCTCTCTCTGTCTCTCTCTCTCTCT